GGCGCGGGCGCTGTGGTGTACAAGAAGCGGCAGCAGAACATCCGGCGGTCGCAGTATGGGTACGCACCCAGTAGAGAGATATTGTAGGCTACGCATCCATGGATCTAATTTCTTCACGAACTTCTTCTCTTCCTCCATATTTAATGTGCTCTGAGACTTTCTTTTAGAGAATTTGTTTTCATTCTTTTGCCGCTTGTGACGATGAATAAGGAGTTTTTGCTTCACGGTTTGTTAAAGAATTTACATCTGATTCTTCATTTACATCCTTGCTTGTTGATAATTATTGAGTAGTATGGTTATGATTTTTATGTTGTTTTATTTAAGAGCCAAAATGAGCTGGTGCTTGTTTATTAATATTAACGAATTTAATTGAACATTAGGTAAAAAACCAAAAAATTACATAAAAAAAGTCTTTATTTTCAAGTCTTAATGACATTGTTTAATATAATAAAGCTTGCATAAAGGAAACATCCGATAACTCTATAGCATTTCTGTAAAAGATAACTCAAAATACACATTAGTTGGAAATATAAATACTTTTTTTGTACTTTATATAAATTGTTCGAATTAAGGACACAATTTGTCAAAAAAAAAAAAGAAAGATTCAAAAAAAATCAAATCAAACGGATACACGTTTGCACACGAGCGTGTCGTTAACAAACTCACACACGCACGTGTCGTTTATCCCGACTCGGTTGACGTTACATAGGCTTTTCCAACCTCCCGTGCACCACAGCCGACCGTCTTTCCACTGTTTGACCTTAGTCTCCCATTTTCTCCCTCGCTCGTCCACAAGGAACATTTTCTCCGGGATATCGAGACCATAGTCCACTATTACATCCTTCGGGATGTACTGAAATTTTATATAAGATATTATTAAGCATGTAAGATTATTGCAAATGTGTAGTATGCATACATGTTTGTATATATATATATATATATATATATTACCAGCTCATTCTTTCGGCACAGAGGCCTCCACCTGGTCACGAAATAAGGGTTGTTGGGCCGGGGGACGAGGCTCGATTCGAAGATGTCCTCTCCGTAGCAATCGCGCGTGTTCTGCTTTTTGTAGCTACGTTTGTGAGGCATCGTTCGGGCTCCGACTGACAAAATCGAAAGATACATTAGTCAAAAAGAATAAAAATAAAAAACAGGACAATGGAAGAAAAAAAAAAACCCAGGATAATTACATGTAGCCACTTCTTGCTGCTCATCTGAAATGTTCGCTTGCTCGTCTTCGTCTAGGTTGGGAGGGAGTTGGGGTTTGTCGCAAGCATCGTGCCCCAAAACTACAAAGTCGAACAAATTATCCCCCGTATATTCGAACTCTAAAAGATCGCGGAGCTCGATTGAGTTACGCGTGAAGAAATCGGACCAGCCTTCCGTGAAGCACCAAAAACCGTCTCCTCGTCTGGCGGCCTCCACAAGCCATAGGTTTCTGTTACAATCTCTCAGCAGGCATTTCGCTGGAAGAGATCCTCCGACTCGAAACATGAACTCGTGAGGAATTTCCTAGAGTAATAAGACACAAAATGTGTTGACTCAGATGTGAGATGTATTGTGTAGTTGATTTAAGGCAAAGTTGTAACAAAATTGTACCAAATATTCAGAGCTCCACACAAATTTGAAGAAGGCTAGTTCAGATCCCATCTTGCTTTTGCTTGAATGCTTGAATTTGTACCTGATATGTGTTCACTGTACTATTAGTACAAAATCATTTTTTTTTTTTTT